ATAAGCCTTTTATTAATTAATTAAACATCAAATTAATCCGGTTCAAATTTGATAGAGATAACGCAGATTTAAATCATAAGATCCTAATATAAATTACGTCGCCTTTTAAACATTTGGTTTCGTTAAAGAAATATTTTTCATCTTGCCTGAGGGATGTTTGCTCTGTACTTCAATAATAACAAGAAATGTATCAAAATGTGAAGTTTAATTATAGATGTCTATTCAATACATATATTCATGAGATACATAAGAGTTTAATTTAAGAGATGTATTATACAATTATGAATGTACAATTTATTAAAAATAATTTAGCACTGGTGGTCAGTTTTTACATAGTAAATAGTTTTAATGCCGGTATTTTCACTGTGATTTGAATAATGATTTTGATAGGTTTATATCAGTTTTTCTCCCTGTGATTTGAATAATGATTTTGATAGGTATATATCAGTTTTCTCCTTGTGATTTGAATACTGGTTTTGATAGCTTTATATCATTTTTCTCCCTGTGATTTGAATAATAGTTTTGATAGGTATATATCAGTTTTTTCCCTGTGATTTGAATAATGGTTTTGATAGGTTTATGTCAGTTTTCTTCTTGTGATATGAATAATAGTTTTGATAGCTTTATGTCATTTTTTCTCCTTGTGATTTGAATAATGGTTTTGATAGCTTTATGTCAGTTTATCTCCCTGTGATTTGAATAATAGTTTTGATAGGTATATATCAGTTTTCTCCCTGTGATTTGAATACTGGTTTTGATAGGTATATATCAGTTTTCTCCCTGTGATTTGAATACTGGTTTTGATAGCTTTATATCATTTTTCTCCCTGTAATTTGAATAATAGTTTTGATAGGTATATATCAGTTTTCTCCCTGTGATTTGAATAATGGTTTTGATAGCTTTATGTCAGTTTTTCTCCCTGTGATTTGAATAATGATTTTGATAGGTTTATATCAGTTTTCTCCCTGTGATTTGAATGATGATTTTGATAGGTTTATGTCAGTTTTCTTCTTGTGATTTGAATAATGGTTTTGATAGGTTTATGTCAGTTTTCTTCTTGTGATTTGAATAATGGTTTTGATAGGTTTATATCAGTTTTCTTCTTGTGATTTGAATAATGGTTTTGATAGGTTTATATCAGTTTTCTTCTTGTGCTTTGAATAATGGTTTTGTTAGGTATTTATAAGGTTTCTTCTTGTGATTTGAATAATGGTTTTGATAGGTTTACGTCAGTTTTGATAGGTTTACGTCGGTTGATTTCTTGTGATTTTGATAATAATTTTCCTATGTATATGCCAGTTGTTGTCTTATGATTTGAAAAGTCTTTTTTAGTATGTATATGTCCATTCCCTCCTTGTGATTTGATGGTTTGATGGGTATATAACAGATTAAAACACCTTCAGAGTCAAATAACAAACGAATAACGATGGCTTCATCACCCTTTACATATTTGAGTTTCAACTGTTGATTGATCTGTACCTGGACCTCGCTTTGTTTTCCAATTTGTGTAAAACCCACTCTCAATGTTCGTCCATCCGACCTTTGCAGGGAAAATAAATCATTGGGATGGACAATTCTTAATCTGTATATACACGTCAAGATACAGATTACATTGTTCAAATTCGGTTAATGCCGAAATTGAAGTAATGAAATTGAAGATCGTTCTCGTTTTTCTTACTTTTAAGCAGGGGATTTTAACATAGATTTCTTGGATTAGTGTTTTGAGTTTGGGGTTGGATGTTTTTTAATGATCGAATTGCATACTTTTTAAAACTTTTATAAGAAAATGAATTCACAATTTGACGCGAAATGCCAGAATATTTGAGAGTAATCGCCATCATTTCGAGACGTGTCGTGGTAGGATTTCGTGTGGGAGAGATTTAGATATGGGCCTGTCTCAGGGGGGATATTTAGGTTAACTATTGTTAATAGTCGTTATAAATGATATTGCCAAAGCACGTCGTTAGTTTTGTTTGTTACAATCGGACAAGGTACAGTCTCAGTTTTCTTTGCTTTAGATGTTTTCCAGTGTATTTCACCATTGTTACAATAGAATTATCCCCAACGGCGAGGTCAACAGGGTCCAAATATAGGGTTTCAAATCGTGCGATAGACGCTGATTTCCTTCACCGATTTTTTTCTTTTAATGCTGTAGGATTTAAAATCATTATATAATTTTGAATCAAAGTCAGTGTGTCAATTTACCCGAGGGTATTATAGGCGAGGGCCTGTTCCTCAATCCTATTATGTTAATAAATATTGTTTATACAAAACAAAAAATCTGCCCATGTTCATTCGTGACTTTTAAAGATTGATTTTTTCGGCGGTTCTTAAGGACTTTCGTAGCTTCGCCAGGCTGTTCGGCTTGTCACCGAGTTTTACCCATAACCCTACAAAAAAATCCCTCATATCTCCCTTTAGTAAACAGATATATCAATTGTAAACATTGTAAAATCATTCTAGGTTTTATGTGCGTATCACGGACACTGATAGCATTAATTTGCACCATTCCAATTTTCAATCAGACAACTGTGGTCCCAGCAAATCCACAAAAAAAATTGTTTGATGACGTCACTATCGCAATTATGCCTTATCACATACGGCACTTCAGGATGAGTGACCTCACTAAACACAATGGAATTGTTGGACAACAGACTTCTGATGAAAAATGGTACAATTTGATGCTATCAGTATACAATACACTTAAAAATGCAGAAAACCTCTTTACAATGCCTTTAGCTACAGATATTATGTCCACAAGTTGGGAATATTTTGACCAAATGTTTTGAGACCGTCTGAACATGATACATCTCTTTATATATCGGATTCCAACTATCTCTTTTATATCGGATTCCAACTATCTCTACTATATCGGATTCCAACTATCTCTTTTATATCGGATTCCAACTATCTCTACTATATCGGATTCCAACTATATCTTTTAAAATGGATTCCAACTATCTCTTTTATATCGGATTCCAACTATCTCTTTTATATCGGATTCCAACTATCTCTTTTATATCGGATTCCAACTATCTCTTTTATATCGGATTCCAACTATCACGATTCGCGAACGATTTTAATCAAGATCTTTATCGTCAATAATCGTCAACGATCGTAGACAAATCTAGAATGGTTCAAAAGTTTCTTCTGTTAACACAATTGCCACGACTGACCTCAAGATCTGATAATATCGCCTCCTATTTGTACTCCCAGTGTAGGGAGGCTTGCGCCTCCGTCACTACGTGCCGCGACCGCGAGTCTTGATAGTTGTTACCTGGCATTTAATGATACAATGATAAAAGGGAGATAACTCCCACAAGAAATTGCACATAAGAATTCAGACCATTGAAAAAAATCTGCACTGATGAATTTAGTAAGAGGTATTTTTGACACCCCTTCATTTCCCTTTTGTTTGTTTTCTTTTGCCTGTTTATTGTCAAGATAAATCATATTATGATTTTGATGTCTAAATTGTCCATTTCTGTCAGGTTTGGGTATTATATGAATATGAAGAATGAAGTGTTGAATAGTCGTGTCCTGTACAAGCACATGTATACTATATATCTGACAGTAGTCTTCTTTCGATTTGCTTAACTCAAAATAGTCAGGTCATCAAGTAACAGTCGCGAGAAAAGTTGACAATTATTAAAACTATCAACGAGAAACAGAAAAAAAAAAATTCAAAATTCGTGGCCTGGAGATAACAAAGATAACAAAACACACAAATCGGATTAACCCCAGAGGCCCCAGTTCGGGTTTTATCAACCATATCAATATGGCAGCTTATCCTTTTCTTCCCGATTGGATTTTATCATTCCATTATTTTTGTATGGACAATTCCAATTCATTGCCAAACTAATTTTTTTTAATTATCTTCTAGTTTACAAGCAAATGGCGTCAAAAGTGGAAGCGATATGAAAATGTTGTGAATGGATTTGAAATAAAATTGTCCATAAGTGCAGTGGATAACTGAAACGATCTTTCATTTCAAGAACATTTGGCACACGATTTACCCAGGACCTAATCTTTCGCAAATGGTCGCTATCCAGGTGAAAAAACTAAATGGTCACTATTTTTCAAGATGGCTGCCAAGTTAAAGGTGAAACAATCTGTTTCTGCCTAGAATGTTGAGAAAACTAAATATTTGAATCATGTTGATTATCAAAATGTATGTATTCTGTCCCGTATTACTCAATCGTTTTAATATCAAATGGCCGCCATTTGTCAAGATGGCCACCAACTGAGGTGAAACAAGCTCTTCTCGGCCTAGAATGTCAAAGAAACGAAACATTAGAGTGATCTAAATATTAAAATGCATGAATTCTGGTCGGGAAAACTCAATATGTGGTATCAATATGCATGCACAAAATGCAAAACTACGTATGACTCTGAGTCTGGCATACGTGGTACGCAAGTTGCTAGAACCTATGCTAAACCTATCTTGAATTACCAGATAACTTAATAAACACGTGTCTAACTTACATCTACTGCATAATCTGGATCTGGTTTACCTGAGATTGCCCGAATTTCTAAACTAGTTATGAGATTTTTCCCGTCCCTTTTGGGTCACCCTCCTCCACACCCCTTTTTGCTCCACCACTGCATATAATGCAGCGTTTACGTCCACGTACAATTGAAATGTAATGAAATGAAGGAAGTTTAAGTCCTAATTTTCTGCACCATGTTGTCTAATGAAGACGGACAGCTCTATGCAAGGTGCAATGAGGGAAATTTTGCAAGGACAAGAGAGCATATTTTGCGACGTCATCACTTGGAATTACAAGAACCACAGACGTCTGATTGAAAATGGTGCAAATTGATGCTATCAATTTCCCGATACACATAAACGATTTAGAAAATCTCTTTACAATCTCTTCAAGTAAATGCGAAGTGAAATTGCATTTCCAATAAACCGATTTTTTGAACTATTGAAATCAGTATTGAATAAACCTAAAACTATGTTTGTGATAATTTGAATAAAAAAGAACAACGAATGATCACATTTTCTGACAAGAACGCTCTAAAACAGATCTATTTTCTATGATTTGAAAATCTTGAAAATCTGACTTAGTATCTTGAAAATCTGTGTTAGTTTCTTGAAAATCTGACTTAGTATCTTGAAAATCTGACTTAGTATCTTGAAAATCTGACCCAGTATCTTGAAAATCTGACTTAGTATCTTGAAAATCTAACTTAGTATCTTGAAAATCTGTCTTAGTATCTTGAAAATCTGTCTTAGTATCTTGAAAATCTGACTTAGTATCTTGAAAATCTGACTTAGTATCTTGAAAATCTGACTTAGTATCTTGAAAATCTGACTTAGTATCTTGAAAATCTGTCTTAGTATCATGAAAATCTGACTTAGTATCTTGAAAATCTGACTTAGTATTTTGAAAATCTGACTTAGTATCTTGAAAATCTGACCTAGTATCTTGAAAATCTGACTTAGTATCTTGAAAATCTGACTTAGTATCTTGAAAATCTGTCTTAGTATCATGAAAATCTGACTTAGTATCTTGAAAATCTGACCTAGTATCTTGAAAATCTGACTTAGTATCTTGAAAATCTGTCTTAGTATCATGAAAATCTGACTTAGTATCATGAAAATCTGACCTAGTATCTTGAAAATCTGACTTAGTATCTTGAAAATCTAACTTAGTATCTTGAAAATCTGACTAAGTAT